GTACAGTCCAAATCATTTCATTAAGGAGTTTCTGGGGGGTGGCATAGAGGTGGGGACAATGAGATCCAGTGCCCACAGCCTGGCTGGAATCTCTAGGATCTTGCAGCCACTGAAAAACTCAACTACGTTTTTTATATTGGCTGCCTTCTCTCCATATCTCCCCTTTGAGATAATTAGGTTCCCTGATTAATAAATAAATAAATAAATAAATAAATAACAATTATTGTGTTAGATGAAATAAGAGGTACTTTGGGGAATGAAGCCAACCTCTCCTGAAGGACATGGCCATGTGGTAGATGTGGATGCCTGAACAAAATACAAGTTCTCATTGAAACAATGAGTAGAGATGATTGCTATGAAGGTGTTCAAAAGTGTTTTCCTAGGTGGGACTGTTAATGGGGTGAGCCCTTGGCTGTTATCTTAATGAAAGCAGATCACCGGGCCTATCTTCCATAAGGACACTGGGGGGTTCAAATCACCAAACTTTAAGTTAGCAGTTGAGCACAGATTGTACCTCCCAGGGACCTTATAATTACCGTCTTAACTGAGTAGCATAGATTCTCTTTTCTCTGCATATTTATAGATACAGTATGATGATAATGAAAATCTAAATATCTTAGTTCTAATACAGTGAAACCCATGAGAGCCAGAACTCAGTAAGACGGTTTTCCTGGGTTTTGTAAGTTTTCTGCCTTTGACACAGTACAGTTTACTGCTTCTCTGTCACTCTCTATTAGTGGCAAATATTTGATTGAGTTCTCTGCTCTGACAAGTTTCTACTTTACACAGGTTTCAGCTTTCTCAGGGTTCACTATACATTTGTCAATATTTTAATTTGTGTCTTTTACCTTCTAACTTAGCACTCTGATTTCTATGTATGAAATTCAAACCCACCAGCCACTCCTTTTAAGGAAGGTTGGGCAATCTACTTCCATAGTGATACTGCTTCAAAAACCCAAGGAGGGGTCGCTATGATTCGGGTCTGACTCCATGGCACATAACAACAACAACATATTTTAGAATAATTTTTTTTTTTTTTTTAGAAAAAGATCCCTGAATAGTACACATGGTTTGTACTTAACTACTAACTTTTAAGTTGGTTATTCGAGCCCACCCAGTGGTGCTACCGAAGGATGGCCTGACAATATGCTTCCATCATTATTACAGCCAAGAAAACTCTATAGAGCAGTTCAACTCTCTAACACTGTGAGTTGGAATCAACTCAATGGCAGTAGGTTTGTTTTGTTGTTTCAGTTTATATTTTAGAAATAACATAAAGGTAATTCCAAAATTTTCTTAAACATCTCAGTTGTTCTAAACTAGAAAAGGGAGGACTAAGGTTTAATTTTGTTATGTTTGTTTCCTTAAATCTGAAATTCATTTTGTAGACCTTTTTTAACCATGTGATTTGAGTTTTCTCATATTTCACTAGTGAAGTGCTTCACAATTACTGGGTCATAAAAATCTGCATTTAGTTCAGTTTCCTGGGCTCTTAAAAAGAGTTCTACAGATCATTAGCCATTAGAGAGATGCAGATCGAAACAACAATGAAATATCATCTCGTCCTAGCAATAATAGTAAAGTTCAACAAGACAGAAAACAAATGCTGGCAAGTTTGTGGAGAGATTAGAACTCTCAGATGCTGCTGAAAGACCTGTAAAATGGTAAAAACCACTGTGGAAAATGGTATGGTGCTTCCTTAAAAAGTTGGAGATAGAAGTACCACTACTAGGTATAAATGGTAGTTAAGGTTGTATGTCAACTTGTCTGGGCTTGGTTGAGTGGCTGGGTAGCTGGATGTAGTATTCCGCATGATGAGACTGGTAATCAACTCTATGGTGGAATCTACTGTGAGCAGCTGAATAGCTACCCTAGGGATGTGGTCTGCTTCCCGTATATGAGAAGTCTTGGGAAATGGTACCTAGCTTATGGCATGCTTGAACCCTGCATGTAGCCAAGTCATTGTTCAGCAGCCTGCCATGCTCTGCTGACCTTGGGACTTTCAGTCGACTTGAATTAATGGCCTGCCATGTGGTTTGGTAACATCGGGACTGTGCCTTTATACTTGTCAAACCTGGGCTTGTCAGTCTCAGCAGCCAGCAGCTGTCTGAGTGAAGAAAAGCCTCTAGCTTCCGTGGGCCAGGAGCAGGAAGCAGAGCTGAACCCCAACGTTGAGGGGCTTTCAACCTTGAAAGCCCCTAGAGCCTGCCACTTTGAACTTGGACTTAAAGCCTCCAAACTGTAAGAGAATAAACTCCTGTTTGTTAAAGCCATCCCATTTGTGGTATGTTCTTGTCAGAACGGCACTAGGTAAACAAAACAGTATATATCCTAAAGAAGTGAGAGCTGGAACACACACACACATATATATATATATGCAAACCCATGTTCATTGCAGCACTATGTACAGTAGCAGAGAGATGGGGACAACTTAAGTGCCTATTAATGGATCAATGGATAACCAAACTATGGTACATACGCACAATGGAATACTATGCAACAATAAAGAAAAATGACGAACCCACAGAACACCTCCTAAAGTGGATAAACTTGGAGAACATTGTGCTGAGTGAAATAAGTCAGTCACAGAAGGGCCAATATTGTATTAGTTCACTATTGTAAAAAGTCAAGGAAAGGTTTATATATGGAAGGAAACTTTGGTGGTTACCAGGGAGGGGAAGAGAAGAGGAGGGAGTACTGGTAGATAAGTAGAGACAAGTATTGATTTGGGTGAAGGGAAAGGCAATATACCAAAAGTGAATGACCAACACAATAAAATAACACTAAGGAAAAAGAAGACACAGAGAGGTGCACAAGAGGTACAGACAACAAAGATAAATCCATTTGCATATATAATACTATGTTATCAGTAATAACAAACATTAATCTACAGGTGAATAGATGGTTAGACAGGCTGAATGATCAGGTATGTCTAGGCAAAAGGGAATATGCCCATGACCATATATAAGGTTGGTAGACAATATTTCTACATACGTATTTGTATGTGCCTTAAGAATGTCCATATATGTAATAGAGCTAATAAGAGGCAAAGTTATGATAACTTCTTAGCCACAGCACACCACACTGAAGGAGAGAGTAGTTGGACCTGTGGGCCCAGAACCATGGTCATAGGGAACATCAAGCTCAACTGGCATAACATACTATACAAAACCATTGTTCTACATCCTACTTTGGTGAGTGGCAACTGGGGTCTTAAAAGCTTGCAAGTGGCCATTTAGATGCAACAGTGGGTCTCTTCTTGTCCAGAGCTAAGAAGAATGAAGAAAACCAAAGGTGCATGGAAACAAGTAGTCCAAGAGACTGGTGGACCATGTAGACCTCAGCCTGTATCACCATGAGACCAGAAGAACTAGATGATGCCTGCCTTCCACCTCTTGGAGGGGGATTGGTGTAGGAGATCCTGGATAGAGTGATAGAACAATGTGGAACAAAACTAAAAATCATTAAAAAAAAAAAAAAAAAAAAGACCAGGTTTACTAGTCTGATAGAGCCTGGTGAGACCCCCAAGACTATGGCCCCTAGTTACCCTTCAGGTCTGGACTTGGACTCATTCCCATGGCTTCCAGCCAAACAATAAACAGGCATATAGGGTGGACATTTACACCAGGTAGATACACTCCTTAGAATGATCAATCGTGGGAGAACAGAAGGGCAGTATTTACACAGGGAGATAGCTTGGAGCAGGAATGCATAGGAAAGAAGGACACTGGGAAGAGGTAACTACAGGGAAGAAGTGGGAAGAGAGCTGTTACACTGTGAGGAATTGCAATCAATGTCATGAAACAAAAGGAGCTCTGGTAACGTAGTGGATAAGGCACTTGGCTGGTATACCCTGTTCCTATAATATAGTGTTTTATCAAATTTGAGTAATGTACAGATACACCTCTCCCTTTTTTTTTTCCAGAGACTTGAAGAATCCTCTTGATTATTTTTAGCCCTCAGCAGTTACTCATAGCATCACATGGCACAGTGTTTTTTTAATAACTTGTAATTTTTTTTTCACTTTTTAGAACCATTTTGCTTGACTGTATAAGACCTAACAAAGACATATGCTCTATTTTGTTAAATGATCAAACTTGTAAAATGAATTGTATTATCATTTGAAATAAAATCTCTTCCCATGAAAGTTAACCAAAAGCTGTCAAATATTGAGCAGTTGTAATCTTCTGACATAAGAATCTGTCATATTGGGCTCACTTAAAATTCTGATACCTGAAATGTGGCTAAATTCCCACTGTAGGGGCAGTGACAACAGTACCGCATCTTCTCTACCTGACATTGACATGTTTCTTTGACATCCACTTTAGATGCTTCCTCATTTCAGAAATATTAAACTGAATAATTGTGCATCTCAAAATTAAGGAAATATAGTACTGCATAGAAAGTAAAAAAGTGTTTGGATCCTGTTTTCCTTCTGATCTTTTTATGCAATATGAGCTATGTTTTACAGAGTTTATCTGAACCTTAGAAAAATTTGAAATACCATCCAGTGAAAATGTTATTTCAACATCAGCTGTATTTTAGAAAAATAGCAAATACCAAGATTTTGGTTAAACCAAATTAAGGAATGAAAATTTATTGGTCTGTAGTGAGTAGAGAAAGAATCATTTACAAATATATTTCGTAGATTTCAATTAATGTATTACAGGCAGGCAGAGATGTGGCCCAAGACAGTCTGACTACTGCCTCTGGAATGAAAAAAGAATTATTCTTTATATTATGGGAGTGAATAGTAAAAGGACCCTGACTTAGAATTGATATCCTTCAAGAGACTTTAAAGAAATTTATGGATTCTTAGAGTTCTCAGAAAAGAAGCTCTTCCAGAGCCTAGTCCTCTCTTTTGGTCTTTACAGAGCTTCTCTCTCTCTGGACTTGTGTATGAACATTCCAGGCCAGAGGGGAGCTTCCAATAATAATGCTATCTTCTCTTCCCCTCCCCATTCCTCAGGTGTACCAACATTCGACCAGGAGAGACTGGAATGGATGTGACAAGCCGCTGCACCCTTGGAGACCCCAACAAACTGCCAGAAGGGGTTCCCCAACCTGCCCGCATGCCCTATATCTCAGACAAGCACCCTCGACAAACGTTGGAAGTTATTAACCTTCTCAGAAAGCACCGGGAGCTATGTGATGTGGTGCTAGTTGTGGGTGCTAAGAAGATATATGCCCATCGAGTAATTTTGTCAGCCTGTAGTCCCTACTTTAGAGCTATGTTTACAGGAGAATTGGCAGAGAGCCGACAGACAGAAGTAGTGATCCGAGACATAGATGAAAGGGCTATGGAACTACTGATTGACTTTGCATATACCTCCCAGATAACTGTGGAAGAGGGCAATGTTCAGACTCTTCTGCCAGCTGCTTGCCTCCTCCAGCTGGCAGAAATACAGGAAGCCTGCTGTGAATTCTTGAAGAGACAATTAGATCCTTCTAACTGCCTGGGTATTCGGGCTTTTGCTGACACACATTCATGTCGTGAGTTGCTCAGGATAGCAGACAAATTCACTCAACATAATTTTCAAGAGGTGAGTTGTATGCATTCATAATGTATTTCTCAAAAAAGTAATTCAGGTTCTTAGTCTGCTGATTACCACATACCTCCTTGTATATTTACTGCTGACTCATAATATCATAAGTCATAACTCATAATGTCAGAGAAATGTTGTTTTAAATTCTAAGCCTGTTTTTTTTTTTTTTATTCTAGAGACCAACTTTGTGTTCTGCCAGCAAAAGTTAATGCTTAGGGATTTAATCTCTGGAGCCATATTCCCAAAAGTCTAATTTATAAGCCAGAATACAGTTTATTAATTCATAAGGGGATCTGTATCTGGTAGAATATTTGCCGTCAGTTATTTGCATGGGGCATTCCTTTCCTGATTTATGGATTGCTCAACAGACTAAATTATAATTGAGAGATTATTTGGTGAATAATCAGAAATAAATTAATTTAGATGTTATCAACAAATTTTCATTAAGCTTCTTTTTTTTCTCACTAATTTATGCATTTAACAAATATTTTTAAGGCTACTGTGTTTCAGCCACTGTGCTTGGGAACTGAGGTTACAGTGATGAAGACACCTAGAGTCCCTAAGCTCATGGAGTTTAAAACGTATCAGGGAAGATAGCTACTGAATATATAATTATACAGATAATTCACTGCAGTTAATAGGTGCTATAAAGCGTGGCACAGGATGGCTTAAAAGTGTGTAACAGAGAGATTTAATGTTGCTCTAGAACAGTCTGTGCAAGATCCTGAGACCTAGAGAAGCACAGCTGTTTTGAAGAACGGAAGGAAACCCAGTGAGACCTAGAGAATAAGGGGAAGGATATTACAGATTTCACAGAAAAGTCAGAGCCAGAGCACACTGTAGTTTATAGACATGTTAAGAATTTTACATTTAATACTAAGACTAATGGAAAACCACTAACAGGTATTAAGCAAAGGAACAACATGGACAAGTGATTTTATAAAGTCCCTATCCCATCTACCAGGATAATCTCCAGTGAATCAAAGATTTGAACACAAAATGAAACCATGAAAATATTAGAAGACAGCATGGAGTAATTCCTTTATAATCTTGAAGAAAGCCTTTCTAAATGACTAATCCAAAAGGATAAAGGAAAGATTGATAGATTTGACTAACTAAAGATCAAAAACTTAAGCATAGTAAGACAAAATAACAATAAGAAAACAAGTCAAAAGACAAATTAGGAAAAATACTTGCAACTCATGTCACTGAGTTAATCTCCTTAATTTATCAAGAGCACCTATTCTGATCAATAACCTGGATTGATAACCTAGTAGCAAAAATGGGCAGTAAACAAAAAAAGGAAGTCATACTGCCCTTAAACTTATGAAAGTATGTTCAAATGTCTATGTTCAAATATATTCAAACTTCCTGGGCAGGCACAGGTGGGGGTAAGGCAAGCTACCTGGGAAAGATTGGGGTCAGTGGGTAAATGGCCAATAGCAGTTGCAGTTTAAGGTTAAAGGCAGTTCAAAATATGTTTAAATAGGTTACAAATATCCAGAAATTTGATTGCATATTCTGTTAGCAAAGCCACTGGGAAATACTCACTGGTAGTGTGAGTATAAATTGGCACAACCACTATGAAAGGAAATACTTATCAAAATTGCTAATACACATACTCATTGATTTAGCAATGTCACTTCTGGGAATTTGTACCACACATATGTACTGGAGAGGAGAGCAGTTTGAGAAGGTAAAACCATGGGTTCCATTTTACATACTTTGAGTTTGAGACACATGTGACATATGTTGGGCTTTTTTTTTTTTTTTTTTAGGTAAGATATTTAAGTAGAGATACTGAGCAGGTAATTGTTTATATGACTAAAGCTCAGGTTGTTGTTGTTGTTAGTTGCTGTTGAGTTGATTTCTCATCTTGGCAACTCCATGTGTGCACAGTAGAACTGCTCCATAGGGTTTTCAAGGCTGCAGAGTTTCAGAAGCAGATAGATCACTAGCCCTGTCTTCCAAGGTGCCTCTGAGTGTGTTCAAACTGCCAATTTTTCAGTTAGTAGTTTAAATGTTTAACCATTTGTGCCATCCATGAGCCCCTAGAAAAGAAGTTGTTGTTGTTGTTATGTGCCGTCGAGTCGGCCCCGACTCATAGCGACCCCTCCTTGGGTTTCCGAGGCAGTATCACTACGGAAGTAGGATTGCCCAACCTTCCTTCCGAGGAGCGGCTGGTGGGTTTGAACCGCCAGCCATCTGGTTAGCAGGCAAGTGTCTTAGCCACTATGCTACCAGAGCTCCCAGAAAAGAAGTTAGGCTGAGATTAAAATTTAGGAGCTGTCAGCATCATAATTAAGCCCTGATTTAATCCTTTTGAAACATGTTGCAATCCAGAAGCTAAAAAGAACGAGAATGAAACTAAGTTTAAAAAAATGCCGAACTCAGAAAACCTTTTTGAAGTATACATGACAGAAAAAGGGGCTCATTCCCATAAAGCTCATAAAAATTAAATGAGGGGGAAAAAAAAAAAAAAAAACAATAGAAAACTAAACAAAGGGAGAAAATGAATGAAAGATAAAATGAGCCACTGATGCCAAGCAATTTCAAACTCCCACAGGGAAAGCTCTATTAGATTTCAGTGTCTGAGAATATAATCCTTCACTGTCTGAATTCAATGCCCTACCCTTCCTTTTTCATGAATAGTAACACATGTTTGCAGCTGAATAGTTTTATCTACCTATTCTCTGTTTATACAGTTTTGGAAGTCTGAGTTCTTCTTTTTTTCTATTCTATCTCTATCCCTTTGAATCCAGTCAGGCAGTGTTTCTGTTGATACAAAATTCTCAATAACTTTGTGGGTCTATTATTTATGTCCTGTGTCTTTACTCCCTTAGACAAGAGGCTCCTTCAGTAGTCTTTTTTGAATAATCTCATCTCTATTTCTGACTTCTGCTGAGATGGCTGAGGGAATCTTGACTCATATACTTAATCTCTTCAAAGAGCCCTCCCATGTGACTGACTCTGATTTTTTATCTTTCCCAGGCATTAGCAAAAGATTATCCAGTCACATTTTTGGCCTTCTCCCTAGCACATTCTTCTGAAAGTTGTTGTTGTTGTTATGTGCCATGGAGCCATGGAGTTGGACTGACTCATAGCGACCCCTCCTTGGGTTTCCGAGGTGGTATCATTAAGAAGTAAATGGCCCAACCTTCCTTCCAAGGAGTGGCTGGTGGATTTGAACCGCCAGTCTCTGGTTAGCAGTCAAGTGCCTTAGGCACTATTCTAATTTTTGTTGTCTTTTGCTATTTGGATAAGCCAAGAATTTCTCATGTCATCAAATCCTCATTCCTTTTTGCTTAACAGTTCTTCTGTCAATCTGTCTCTTTTCCTCTATCATATCACTATAAGAAGCAAGGAAAAAACTAGGCCATGCTTTGTTTAGAAATATCCTCAGCTAAGCATAAAGGTATATCACATACAATTTTACTTTCCACATCACTGTAGGACTTGGTTCAGCTAAGCTCTATGCCACCATATAACAAGGATCCTCTTTCTTCCAGTTTCCAATAACATGTACGTAATTTCCATCTGCACCCTCACCAGCGGCACCTTTAACATGTGGACACACAGAAAGTAAGCTGATATTGCATAATATTTCAGGCCCCAGGAGGGGAAAGGGAGCTTGGTCTTCCCGGGCTGCCAGGGTATCAGGCGGAACGGAGAGGTTCTGGAGTGGGGCCAGAGCAGGGACTCAACACTGTCTAGCAGGCCCTGGAGCCTGGAGCCATAGAAGGCTGAGTCCTTCTGCAGTGGCAGCCAGTGTTTTAAAGGTAGGCTGCCTTCAGAGCCTGGGAGGAAGCGGGACCTTGGAGTCTGGCCTTAGTTCCCAGTCCTAAGAGATGGTAGGGACAGCTGAGGTTACAAGGAGCCCTAAATGGGGCATTCAAGTGCCCAGTGCCCACAGGAACCCACATCAGCTGATTGGCACCTGTGCATCCCCTTATGCTTCCTTGATGACCCTTCCTGGGCAGGCACAGGTGGGGGTGGGGCAGGCTACCTGGGAAGGATTGGGGTCAGTGGGTAAATGGCCAGCCGCAGCTGTAGTTTAAGGTCAAAGGCAGAGGCCAAGCCTTCCCATTACGGCTTTGGGGGAAGTTCTGGATTGTTGGTTCTCAGGAGGGCATGGGGGTGAAGAGGACAGGGCCACACAGTGAAAGCCAGGGCATACTCAGGTGAGGGGCCAATGAGGGGATCCAGTGGATGGTGTGCATCCTCTCTGGGGGACCCAGGTCCTCCTGCCCACAGATAGGGAACCCTCTTCTCCCAACAAAGCCACCAAGGACATTTTGAGGTTCTTGAAGGTATGAGCTGGTGTTACCCATCCTGAAACTACGGTGAGGGCAGGAGAGGTAAGGGAACCCATGGAAGGCGGGGGGGACATCTGGGCCACCTTAGCTTTGGAAAATTGGGTGGCCCTCCCATGCAGGCAGTAGTGAGGACTGAACTCTCCTGAGGAGATGTAGGGGAGGGAGAGCAAAAGCCAGAAATCTTATAATTCTGAATTCTACTGCCAAGGTTATATATCTCCTCTCACTCTGACTCTCCCCCTCACTCTTATAAGGACCCTTGTGATTAATGAACCCACCCAGATAATCCAGGATAATCTTCCCATCTCAAGATCCTCCACTTAGTCCCATCTACAAAGTCCCATTCATCATGTAAAGTAACATTAACAGGTTCTAGAGATTGGGTGGTGAGTGTCTGGGAGGCAGTTACTTTGCCTACCATAAATATTTTGGAAAACGATTGGTCATTTTCCTATAAAGTAAAATATATACTTGCCCTATGATCCAGTAATTCTACTCCTAGGCATTTTCCTAAGAGAAATGATAACATATGTCCACACAAAGACTTGTATGTGAATGTCTATAACAGCTTTGTTTATAAGAGCTAAAACCTGGAAACAACCCAAATGTCTATTGTGATTGGATGAGCTATGGGGTACTATTCAGTAATTGCTAAAAGGGCATCGAGGTTGCATAAGACAG